TGCAATACATCAGCAACAACAAAACCAGCCATGCCTGAAAACAGTGACAAAGAAGACTGTCCAGCATAGGACAACTTCTCACTTAAGAGGTCATACCTGCTCTGAGCTCAACACTCAGTGCTGTGTCTCACCAGCTTGTTAATAGAAAATTATTGGCAGAGGAAGTTTCATAAAGCATATTACAACACAAATCACCATAATAAAGATCTTGAACAATATCAATGGCCTACAAATAAAAACCCTGGCATGGGTTCCTTCCCTAACACATACACATACACACACACTAAACACACCTCAGTTACTGGGCCTTACATTGAAATGAAAAAATGCTTTATTTCTGCTTTAAGATTCAATACAGATCAAGTGACTTGCTGTGTTCAGGCAGTTTCAGGTTTCTACAGGACTGTAAACCATTTTGCTTTTAAAAACAAAACTAATTAAGAACCTCGGGGTGCTTTTTTTTCTGGTTTGTTTTTTTTTAAATTTCTTTTTTTCATTACAGTTTCATAACAAGTGCTCAAAAATAAACACTTTTCTTCTTTCAATACTGAAGCTGTTGCTTAATGCTACTGTCTTACATAATTTAACCTTAAAAACAATCAAAATTTTCTGTTGTAATTTCAGACACTTCAACATGCTCATCTGATCTCCAAGGACAGAAAGAATGATTACTATTCAAGGCAAAAAAAAGTCCACTCCTATTTTAATTAAAAAGATGCTGTGTTTGTGCTGGAAATTACTTCAAAGTTGAAATTAAAGATGAAATTATTTCCTTTAATCAAAGTTATAGAACATTTATGTTATTAGTGTGAATACCTAAAAGGGACGAAAATTATTTTATTTTTGCTTGTTCCAAACCTTTGCTGAGAACTGGAATGTGTTTTTTTTCCTTACTACTTTTGGTTATTTACAGTATGTAACTCACAGGTCCTGCAACAGGTCTATATTAAAAACACCTCAATCTCATACCACTGCTGGCTGGGAATTTCTACTTATTTTCTTTTTTAAACCCAATTTTGCAGAGGACTTTAGCTCTTGTCATTGTTTTTTCCTTTCAAGGAGACACCTTGACACATCTGACATAACACTGAGGTTTTGAGATCCTGAATATTTAGAGATTCTGTTCAGGCCAGAGAGTCTAGAGATGGTTTGGTGGCAGGTGCTGCAGGGGCAGCCCCACTGGGCCTCCAAGGAGGGCTCAGGAGTGACAGCTCTTTTGCCTCACACATCAAGCTCCTTAGCAGCCACTGCAGTTCATTTTTCCCCACATGCCAGCCTTCAGTCGGAAGTTCCTCCGTGCGATGACACGAGCTGTCACACAAACCTGGGCTCTGACTCAGATGGTGTCTGTGTCCCTGCAGTGATGACTCAGGCACCTGTCACTTCAGCTCTTGCCTTGTCTGCCTTCTTCATTGTTCTTGCCAATAGCCTACTCCAGTCCTGAGTGTCTGGCAGCTTCCACTATTCCACTGAACACCTGCAAATTCCAGAGAAGCATCCTCTGTGCAGGAGAGAGTGAGACCTCACATACCACAGGTCCCGCACAGCATGGCAAGTACTAGATTTCTTACCAATATTTTGAAAACTACAGGCAGTAACACCCTTACTTAGCAATTGCAAACCTGCTAGAAGGCTTCACATGCTTTTCTTTTACCAGTGATTAGCATGCTGTGGAAAGGTCGGGGGAAAACACTTCTGAAAACTGTCATTCCAGTTTCAAACAGAGAAGGACTGAGTCATGGGAGAAACCATTTCTCCAAGCCTATACACTGAATTGTGACAGAATCAGAATTAAAATATCCTGCTTTTATTCTTCTCAAGTGTGGCTGCTGCCTTTCATCTGTATCTTTTCTACTTTCTGCACTGTTGCAGATTTTCTTGACTTTGTGTTTCTTGGTGTGCAGAGGAGAACGTATGTGGCCCGAAGTTTAGAATCCGACTAGCTGAGGGCGAAAGGCCGACGCCCCTCTGCAATTCCTGGCCAGCACCCTTCGGCGTCTGATGGCCTCGGGCTGTGCTG